TGGACTCACGGGTCTACGTGGGATCGACATCCCCAAATCTAGACCTTTTTCTTCTGATTGAGGTTTTGTGGTTTGACCCTGACTGTATAGTGGTACTAGGGTTTTCTGAGAGATGTCATGTTTACAGACAGGGCATTGTGGGTTGTGCTTGTTAGGGGTTTCAGGTGAAGTGTTTTGGTGTTGTATCCATTTGTATATGCATGGCCAACAATAGAGGTGGCCACACAGTGTCACCACCGGATCTTGGACAGAGTCTAGACAAATATTGCAGTCAAAACCGGCGGAAGGACTATTCTCGGACTCGTCGATAGATTCTGATAATGATTTCCATTTCTCGGAAGTGGTTTCACTATCCTTGACAAAAGTTGTTTGAGGGATGGTTTCTTGAGGATATTGCTCCATTGCCATTTGATTTGATTGTTTGATGTTGATATCTGAAATGCAAAAAGAAAAATAAGTGTCTTTTCGGTTGAATGTAGTGGAATATATATATATAAAAGGTACATTTTAAAGAAAACAAAGCAATTCTCACATGATAGATCTTCTAGATGGTTTCTTGTTTTGAGTGAAATACCATTAAAGAGTTTTGAGAGATAAGACTAAGAGGACCACTCACCACATGGCCCAACGTGCAAGAGTAAAGTTTATTTATTTTGTCTATAAAAGTAAAGTACAATTTATCCATATATTGAATCGAGGTTTAAAATTTTCATGTTCTTTTACAAAAGCAATAATACAAAAAAATTTCTTAATATTGTTATAGATATTTCCTAAGTTATTCCTTTTTTTAATTGATTTTCAATCACTATTAAAATAATTCGTATTTAAAATATCAGTACGATTTTAACTAAGATAAAATTTCGTACTTTTGCTTAAATTTGTATCTCACCACAGGAATTCTCAATCCTTGATTTGCATTATCTTGTTTTTCAATAAAAACCATATTAAAATTATTAACTTATCTAGCCATTACAATTTTTGCATCACAAAAAAACACAAAACACCTAATTAATCATTGCACATAGCAGTAGAACAAATTCATCTATCAACAAAAAATTCTTCATTAAAAACAGAAAATGATGGCAAATCCATCAGAAGTAAAACTGAGTCAACACAGTGATTTCACTCGGTATGAACTAATGAACATGGATTCTAAAAATCAGAAACAGAGAAGAATCAGAGATACATAATATTCATCTCTATTTCAATATCTTCCCAAATGCAAATCTGGATTGTTTGAATTCAAATCGAATAACAATAAGCATAAAAATTCAAAGAAAAAGAGATAAAACTCACCGATTAAACGCTGATTTGGAGATTATCTTTGAGATTGTTAAGATCGCTGAAGGCTGATTCGATGAGAGAAATGTTGGTTGTTGAGTAGATGAGATATGGAAGATGAGAGAAAATGTATTTGGTTTCGGTTGATTTTATATAGTGAGAAAAAGGAAAGAATTTGTGAAATAAAATAATATAAAAAAAAAGGAAAAGAAAAAATTAATAAACTGACGTGGCATGGGGTTACTGACTTACTGTGCTGCAACGTAACGGCCAACGCGGTCTTCTAGCAAGCTTATCCAGACGACGTGGACCTCTTTTGCTTACCACGTCTTAACTAATAAACTAATATATACCGTTAAGCATAAAATAAATTATAAAATAAAATTAATAAACTAATAATTGAACAAGTTTGATAGGTTCAAATATGTTATGTATATATAGCAGTATAGCAATAGAGTTAGCAATTCCAGCTTGTTGCAAAGGAGATATTGGGTTTATTGGGTTTGCTTTAATAAAGTCATATATATATATATATATATATATATATAATATATATATATATATATATATATATATATATATATATATATATTATATATATATATATATATATATTATATATATATATATATATATATATACATATATATATATATATATATATATATATATATATATAGGTTTTGTGGAAAATAAAAAACCCTAAAAATCATAATATATATATATATATATATATATATATATATATATATATAAAATACTTAGAGATCACAATTATTATTTTTTTGACTTTATATTCTTTAAAACTGCACCTTTTTATATAAATTCGCTAAAAAAATTTTGAAAAAAAACCAAAAAAAATAAAAAATAAATAAATAAAATAAAAAATAAAAAATCGATTTCTTAATATTTTTTTTCCAGCGAATTTACTAAAAAAACTACGATTTTTAAGAATATAAAAAAAAAAAAAAAAAAGGATTTCTGATATCAAGTATTTTTTTTATGTATTTTTTATGTATTTTTATGTTTTTTAGGGTTTTTTTGTTTTCGATATAACCATTCTGTATGTTTGTGTGTGTCTATATATATATATATATATATATATATATATATATATATATATATAGAGAGAGAGAGAGAGAGAGAGAGAGAGAGGTTCAAATGAAAACCATAAAAGATTAATAACCCTAAGAACCCTCATTTTATAAGTAAATATTTTTTTTGTGAATTTGTCTAAATATGTTAAAATCCCAATTTTTATCTTTTTCGTAAGAAAATGGTAAAATCGTAAAAAAAAATCTAGTCTAACATTTTCATTCATATTTTAACATAAAAATTATATGAAATACAAATTTATACATTTCATTTACAGTTTAATACATAAAATTCACAATTTAATACAATCAATTTTAAATTAATTCACAAACTCAAAGAATTGTCAAACCCAAACTCTACCACCACATGCCGTCACCAACCACCTATGTCAACATGACAATCATTCTTCTTTACCAATCAGATCTACATATAAAGTAATGCAATGACAAGCTAAATAATACATTCATAATTTAATAACCCTATCAATTTACTCATTTTGAATTTAATACAAAATAGTTACAAAAATTAATGCATTCTTACATAAATAAATCATTCATATTTTGAAAAAAATTCACAAGAACGTTTATACAAAAATTCATAAATAAATCATTCATATTTTGACAAAAAATATATAAAAAAAAAAAAGTCACAGCAAAATGCAGTTTATTCGTAGTTTAATATAGTCAATTACCGTTTAAAACAGAAAATTTACAACTTAATATAATAAATTAACAATTTAATAAATAGAAATGTCATAATCTTAACTTAAAACTTATATTTATACCTTCAGATCTGGAGGATAAAGCTTATTTCAAAGTTTAATTTACATAATATTTACAATTTAAATTTTATATAATTTATTTAAAATTAGAGAAAATCATATATATATATATATATATATATATATATATATATATATATATATATATATATATATATTGCTTCTTTCTCCACATATTTCAGATGTAAACACAAAATTCATAAAAAAAAAAAAAAAAAAAAAAAAAAAAAAAAAAAAAGACATAACTTAATAGGGTCAATTCACAGTTTAAAACACAAAATCATAGTTTAATATAATAAATTCACAGTTTAATATTCAAAATTATATATCCACAGCTAAATTCTCAACTTAAAACTCATATTTATAAGTTCATATATGGAGGAATTTTTGTGTATTAAATTGTAAATTTATTGTATTAAGATGTGAATAAAATTTACAACTTAATACACAAAATTCATAGTTTAATACAACACATTCACAACTCAATGATAAGTATAATATCATATTTCAGTGTATAAATAGCTCATTCACAATTTAATACATACATAAATTATCGCATATTTCGGAGGCAAACATAAAAACAAAACATATGCATGAATCATAAAAGATGATAACTTATCTGAAATTAGCGAAGAAGATGAAGATGGGTGAGAAATAGAGCATATTCTTACTTTACCACCACCACTAGCATTAACACCGCAAACTACCATACACTGTCATCAACCATTGGTGCCAACACCGCCAACATCCTTCCCTCAAAAATCAGATTTTAATAGAAAAAATTAGATTCACAATTTAATTCATCATTGTAGATATTAATTCACAACTTAATTTAATATTTCAACATTTAATTTACACGAATTCACAGCTTAAAATTTACATATTTTATTCAAAATTAGAAAAAAAAATCATATATGTTTATAATGTTTCTGTCATCTCATACTACGTTTATAAAAACTGCAGCTTAATACAATCAATTCACAACTTAATACACAATATTTACAACTTAATATAATAAATGTATAGTTTAATATACAAAACTCACAAGTTAATTAATAGCTTAATACAGTCGATTCACAACTTAATACAATCAATTCACAATTAAATACATAAATTTCACAACTTAGTATAACAAATTTATAATTTAATACATAAAAATTATACATTCGCAACCATATTCTCAGCTTAATAGACTTGTTCATAACTAATTCACAAGTTAAAACATACAAAACTCATGAATTCACTATTGAAAACCTATATTTTCTTATTAATAACAGTTAAAACTAACATTAACGAAATTAAACAATAGTTGAAACATCATAATTCACACCTTAATGCATACGTTCATCGAACAACTTGTGATACTCGTATTCATATTTTAATGCATATTCTCAAAGTTTAATACAACCATTCATGCATTATTTATAGTTTAAGAAAATATATGTATAACACAAAAAATTATATATTTTTTATATTTTTTAAAGTTTAATGAAAAAATATATCCAAAAAAAGAATAACATGTTAAAACTTATATATTTCATTGAACAAATCATCAAAAACATTGTGTGCATCCTATTGTATGAATCATGCAACAGAAAAAAAAAAATTATTGACAATATATTGTTACAGATACAATCATAAACACATAAATTTGAAGAAAGGACAACCAATTCATAAAAATCAAACACATCGATACAACTCCATGGCAAAAAAAAGCCATCATTTTGCTAAAGCCATATCATGATATAAAAAACTACTGGTACAACAAAATCATAATTATGTGTTCAAAATATGCATTAAAACATAAACACTTTAAGAACAAAAAGCAAATATGAAGTTATGTTACCTCGATTTGAGTGAAACTCCACTGGATCTATAGAATGCTTGTCATAAATGACATAATTTCAAATCAAGAGAATGTGAGAGGATGAGAGCATGTTCATCGAAGAAGACAGTGAGATAAGCATCGATCTAAGCATATGTTGTCATAGATGAAAGGCCCTTCTTGGTCGGAGATGAACAAGGTTGCTGGATACAGTTGGAAACAAAACAAATTTGGAGAAAACAGATGCAAATCTAGAGGAACAGGAAGCAGATCTAGAGGAACTGAAAGCACATTTAGAGGTAGGCGGTGGATCCTCACCGGAAAAAAGTTGTCATCAATGTTACATCACCAAAGAAAACAGAGAATGACATGTTTTATGGTGTTTTGGCAAGGTCGAAGGTTTGAGACGAACACAAATCCGAAGGTGTGGAGGAAGACATATGTAGTGATACTTGCGTTCGACGGTGAGAGTGTTAGTTGGGCATCGACTGTTACAATTCCGATGTTTGTTTGGAGTCATTTGTGAAATCAATTCACAGTAGGAACAATAGAGGAGTGGCTTGAAATCCATTAACTTGGGCGTTGGTAGCAACGACGGTAGCAGGTAAAGGCGACGGTAGATCTAGCCTCGCCGGTAAGAAGAAAAAGAGGTGCCGGGGTAGATCTGGTGTGGTGATCTGTTGCAGATCTAGACCTGAAATGTGTTAAACACATCAGATTTGATGTAGATCTGGTGTTGTTTCACCAAAAATCGAAGAGAATGAGATGGTGATGATCTATGACGGTGATGGCGGTATATGGTGGTGGCGGTCTATGGCGGCATCGACGGTAGGTGGCGGTAATGGTGGTAGTTGGTGATGATAGTAAGAGGGTTTGTGTTTGAATTCTTGAAGGTGGGTGTGAGATTTTGAATGTAAGAAAAAAATGATCAGATCTTGTTTTTTAGTCTCATGTTAGGAATGTGATGTTAAAATTATCAAAATGACCATCATGCCCTTATTGATTTTAGCCATTTATTAAATCTTAAAATAAATCAAATATTTTAAATTGACAAAAAAAATACGGTTAATATAAGTTAAAATAGAGTGGTTCTTAGAGGTCTTAATCTTTTTTGGTTCTCATTTGAACTAGCCCTGTCAAAAATACCCGTTACCCGAATTACCCACCCGATTGATTTTTTCGGGTATCGGGTAAATCGGGTATCGGGGTAATTTTTTCGGGTAAGTGGATAACCCGAATTTTTTTCGGGTCGGGTAAAGGGTAAGTTGTTTGGGTTTCGGGTATACCCGATTACCCAAAATATATATAAGAAATAATGTCCATTTATGAGTTTATCTAACTCTCCCAGTTCTCAAATCTCAATTTCCCTCGGTGAGGCTCGTTCTATTTTCCCCACGTCAAAAAACCTTCGTACCTCGTCCGCTCTCCGTTGGTATTCGTCACTAATGGATGGCTATATTGAAGTAGAAGATGAGACGACTGAAGTTGACAACTCAACCAATGATCAAGTTCCACAAGAAAAAGAGAAAAATATAAAGAATTCAACCCAAGATCAAAAGTTTGGAAAGAATACTTGACATCTCAAATACTATTGAGTAAAAAATCTCAATGTTCAAAGTTAGCATGACATACTTATTTCATTACATTTATTTTTAGGTGCCCTTAAAAAATAAATAAATAAAATTTAAAAATCGGGTAATACCCGAATTACCCTTACCCGACCCATTACCCAAATTTAATTTGGGTAGGGTAACGGGTAAATATTTTTATATGAAAAACTCGAATTACCCGAAACCCGAAATTTTTACCCGATCAATACCCGTAATTTGAATATATATATATATATATATATATATATATATATATATATATATATATATATATATATATATATATATATATATATATTTGTTGTAGGATAAATTTTATGGCGTAATTACACATTAAATACTATATTTTGAAGGTCATTTCCTTAATTGAAAATCAATGGACGTAGAAACCACCCAACTCAAAACTAAAGGCCAGTTTTTTGCAAAAGTTGGTGTTGATTTTGATGCACTTCTAGATTTTCTCTCTTTCAAAGTCCTAAAAAGTCTTCGTCAGAGCATGTGACAACAAAATTCTTTCTATGTTTTGAAATTTTAACACGTTAGTTTTTTTTTTATATATATTGAAACTATAACTGTATGCAAGTGTTTGGTCACTTCTAGATCTTCTCTCTTTCAAAGTCCTCGTCAGAGCATGTGACAAATAATTTCTTTCTATGCTTTGAAATTTCAGCACACTAGTTTTTATGCATTAACGCAACTCTATGCTAGTGTTGGTTTACGTTAGTGACATCGGTTGATAAGGTCAAATGTGATTTTATATATGTTGTAGCTTTTATTTATTTTATAATCACTCTTGTGAAAGGATAATTTTAGATTTTATATATATCTTAAATAGTATCAAAATCGACATTTGCAACCTCTATGACACATCTTTGTTTATACTTCTAAAGTCTCTTTTTAAGAGGGAGTGTGTTACTATATCCAACATTGTTGTGGTACGGTCGTACATATCTCTATATATGTTTCGTCTCCTATGTTTATTAAAAGATTTTTGTGAAAATACAATCTTAGACTTTACATATATCTTGCATTTTACAAATGAACTTCATAAACATTGTACTTTGTGGTCGATTAAATGTTTTGAATATGTATATAACTAGGTGTTGCATCCGGTGCAAGGGAACAAAAACCCTATACTAATGTAAGGAATAAGCACTAACATACTTTATGTTGATTTACAACGGGTATTATGTACCAAAATTAGAATATAAAATAGACTAAACTATTTAATTAATTATAAAAATAAAACATAATAAAAACTAATCTATGTAAATGCGAATACTTAAAAAAAAAAACGTTGTAAAATAAGTTGTTTGTTCTCATTTAGTTATTTCCTTTTCTTTTGTGTCTAATATATCATCGAACTTGTTGTTTGTGTTCAGTATAACCCTTTTAACCGGCTATTACCTATGATAGTCGGTCAAAGGATTATGGCGAACACTAACAACAAGTTCGATGGTATATTGGGTACAAAATAGGAAAGAGACCAAATGAGAACAAACTCAGTAGTTGGTTACCCTCTGGAGTGTAACCAACTATTGAGTCATGGTGAACACAAACAACAAGTTCGATGGTATATTAAATACAATAAAAAGGAAATGGATCAAATATGACCGACTATCACATGGTGTCATGGTGATAGCCGGTCAAAAGGGTTATGATGAACACAAATAATAAATTTGATGGTATATTGAATAAAAAAAAAAAAAATGCACCAGTCTTTTTCCCCAAACAAAATTGATAAGAGACTAGAAAATTGAATTTATAACAAAAATAAAAATTAGATCAAAAATACTGGAAAAACAAATTTTTATGGGACGGACTTACATGCATAAAAAGGAAAAGGTTAAAAAGGTTTTTACAGAATTAATTATGTAACAAAATTTACAAAATGACAAATGAAGTTGTGCCAATTTATTTTTGAAAGAAAAACTTGTTTCATAAATCATATAAAGACAATGTAGAAAAAATTAGGGCAATTTGTAATACGATTTCAGACCAATATAGTAAAAAATAAATTAAATTTGTGGCTCAATATATATATATATATATAATATATATATATATATATATATATAT